ACTTTGAACTTAATCGATATGTTAAAGTACCACGTTCAATGAAAATGAAGTAGATAAATATTTCCAACATTTGAGAAGGTTGTCCAAACCATGGAATGGCCCACCGAAAAATTGTCATAATTATTACAAAGTGTTTTAACTGGTAAAGCACAAAAAGCTTACGCTGCTCTCTCTTTAGAAAATTGTACGAATTATGATAAGGTTAAAGCGGCTATTCTCAAAGCATGCGGGTTAGTACCGATTCAAACCCGGAGAGGAAGCCCTGAAGAAACCGTCGTTCAGTTGTCCAAGACGAAGCATGTGTATTTGGTGCACATGGTGATGACACCAGCCGAAAGTGGTCGGTGAGTTGGACACGAGTTTGAGTTCTGATGTTTAAAAGATATTGTACATGTATAGAGAACATCTGAAATATTAAACTGATGATGTTAAGATTATGATTATATATCAGAGTCTGTTGGACTTACTAGAGTAACGTCGCTTTTCAGGGGGTTCGGATAAAGTTATTCAATATTCTGATTGATTTTGATGCAGGGAGAAACAGGAGTGCCCGGAGAAAATCTAAATTCACGGGCCAGGTGTCGAATAATCTATCTGACCCGTGCCTGAGATGCACGGTTGAAAAAAAAAAAGAAATTTGTGAGCAGATAAAATGTGTTGGGTTTTATGTAGTTTAGGGGCGATATATAGGTTCGCCATGTTGCGGGTGTGGCTGCTAGTATTTGGAAGGTCCTGGTCTGACTATTACTTGTGCATGATTTGTTGTAGTATTTTTCGGCTAGTTTGTGAGTTCAAGCTTGGATAAGAGGTAAATTTGTGAGGTCGCTGACGTATTCAAGAGGGGTTATTGGGTAGTCTGGATGCTGTTATAATAGCTATGTTGTTGTTGCTGGCGGATCTTGTTGTATATAGTGTCAGACATGTTGCAAGTGACGGGACATAGGGACATCCATATTCGTAAAGGAGTTTATATAAGCTTTATATATTTGTTTTTTAATTTCGCGCAAAGCTACACGAGGGCTATCTGTGCTAGCCGTCCCTAATTTAGCAGTGTAAGACTAGACGAAAGGCAGCTAGTCATCATCACCCACCGCCAACTCTTGGGCTACTCGAGCGCCTTAACCACCTGGACATGCCGGGCCTATATTTTTATGATAGAATGGCTGTTGCAGCCTTTGTTCGTGCCTCCGATGCAACGTAAGTATGAGAGACTTTTACTGGTGTTTTTGAAAATGTTGCTAAAGTGCGTGTTTCAGCTCATGTGCATGTTCAAAGTCATTTCTAAAAAATTTCTTAAGTGAGATAGAGGTGTTGAATATTGATAATTAAATTTTTCTGAGTCTTTATGTTATATTTTCCTATTCTTCTGTGAAAAGCTATGGCTTGTGTCTTGTTGCACCAGTGAATGATGATGTTTAGCATTTATTGAACTCTGGCTGATGCAAAAATTGGATCACGTGATGCACTCCAAACAGCGTACAGAGAAGCCAGACTGTAAGCTACTTCTGGGAATGGTATGTCGTTTACAAATAGAATGCACAGTAGCGAGCTGAAAACTGATCCTTGAGGTACCCCTGCTTTTAGAAGAAATGAATCAGGTGTGGCGTTTTTAACTTTGGTGGTTTTGCTTGTGAGAAAAGTAGATAGCCGTTTAATTTTGGGAACGGGTACTTTATACTTAAACAGCTTGGGGCGTCGTGCCAGACGGAGTCGAAGGCTTGTTTTACGTCAAGGAATGTAGCTATTGTCGTATGTTTGCGATTAAATCCTTGTGAGAATGACTCGACAAACCTAACTAGATGGTCTGTGGCCTGTCTGCGTTTTCTGCTTGCATGTTGGTTGCTGTTAAGAATGTTGTTATTTTTTAGAAAATGGAGTAGTCTGTTAGAGATGATTTTTCCATTAGTTTTCCTAACGTGTTGAGTAGGCTTATAGGTCTGTAACAATTAGGTACGTTGAGATCGCGTCTTTTTTAGGGAATACCGTATTTTTTGGTGTATAAGACGCACTTTTTTACCACAAAATTTGATGTCAAAATCTGCTTGCGTCCTATACACCGAAGGTATGAATAATATATATGTATATATATGATATACACAAACCATGTGTAAATATATTTAAACAGGCATGCATAGTTTAGTTCAGTTGAATGTGTTATTTATAACAATAGTTTTTTTTCTTTTAAAAACATAACTATTTATAATGCTCCCTAAATAATAAAAAATAAATTATAGTAATGGAGTTAGTATAGTAAAATTTCCCCCAAAACTTTGTCTTCAAAATAAGGGTGCGTCTTATATTCCGAAAAATACGGGACGTTGTTTGTTTGTTTTGAATTTCGCGCAAAGCTACACGAGGGCTATCTGCGTTAGCCGTCCCTAATTTAGCAGTGTAAGACTAAAGGGAAGGCAGCTAGCCATCACCACCCACCGCCAACTCTTGGGCTACACTTTTACCAACGAATAGTGGGATTGACCGCCACATTATAACACCCCCACAGCTAAAAGGGTGAGCATGTTTGGTGGAACAGGGATTCGAACCCGCGACCCGCAGATTGCAAGAAGAGCACCCTAACCACCTGGCCATGCCAGGCCGGAATACTTTGATAACAGCGAATTTCCAGATTGACGGGTAGTGACCAAATAACAGAGATAAATTATAAAGGACTACTAATTGGTATAATATATTGTCGGAGAGGTTTTTGATTATAGAGTTGTTGATGCCGTCTTCCCCAGTTTTTAGTATAATTTTGAGTTCGGTTAAGGAAATGGTGTAACTGAATGAGTGATATATAAAGGAAATTTAGTGACGTCATGAAGGTCACCTGGACCTCCACGAGGTGTTTTTGTATGTTTTTCAACTTACTGTTGTAAGTGTGTCTCATGTCCGGTGCAATGTGGCCGGCGATGAGAGTGTTATGTAAATAACTGTTAGGGATATTTTGCTTCAGAAATGGTTGAAAAAAAAAGAAATTAAAAATCTATACTTAAGTATTTAAGTAAAATACAGGTGACACATGGAGATTGACTGAAAAAGAAGTGTTAGGCAAATCAACTTCTAAAGACAGACATGGAAAATTATCATAAATAAATAGTGAGTACTAGAAAGATTACAAGTATACATTGAGAGTTCACACTAGATGACAAAAATTATAAATGAAAGAAAGAAAGAAAGAAAGAAAGAAAAAAAGCATTTCATAAGACCTGGCTTAATGGACTATTTTAAAAATTAATTTATGATTTAAGTTTACCTTATGTTATCATTAAATGGATAAATAATTTTGTAATTTAAATGATATTAAAATACAAGATATTGAATCTGAAGTTTCATTCCCGAGGTAGGAACACCACGAGGTATAGTGTTAAGACCATTATCATTTTGTATGTATACAATTGATATTCTATATCAGTAAGTACTAACGGCTATATAAATATTGCAAATTATGCTGATAATATCACATATTGGGTAACGAGTTATTCTATTTCAATTATAATTAAAAATTTACAACTGGCTCTAGTGGATTTGGGATTATGGTGTGATTTATGAAGAGTGTACCTTAATCCTGATAAAACTAAATTTATAATGTTCTACCATAAAGACGAAATTTCAAAAATATTAGAAATATAGTAAACGCTAAACTTAAAATATACAACAATGAAATTATTAAAGTAGATGATGTTAAATATTTAGGTGTCTTTTACGATAGAACATTAAACTTGACACGCCATATTGAATATTTAGTCAAAAAAATGTTGGGCTAGATTAAACATGCTAAAAATTTAACATAATCAAAATGGGTGTACATGTCGTACAATAATTACAACTTTTAAAGTATATATTAGATCTTTAGTAGATTATGCTGAGATATTAAATATTTTAATAATATTACAAACTATTCAGCATAATATGCTAAGACTTGCGACCAGGCCACCCATATATACAGTTACTACTTCTTTTTTTTTTTTTGTCAACCATGGAGAATCGAACTCTGAATTTTAGTGTTGCAAGTGTTTAAACTTAACACTAATTCACCGAGAGACAGTTCAGAAAGTTTATTTGTTTTGAATTTCGCGCAAAGCTACACGAGGGCTATCTACACTAGCCGTCCCTAATTTAGCAGTGTAAGACTAGAGGGAAGGCAGCAAGTCATCACCACCCACCGCCAACT